TTCGAAGCAATAAGATTGCAGGTAACACAAATCAGTCTTTGACTTCATGCCCAACAGCAGCGCTACTCTAACATTAGGACAACACCTTGTACGAACTCAAATTTTTTCACTTGTACGTTTGTATTTAAGCACAACACACAAATGTATCGTTATTTGCCTGATTGTACTATTGTGTGTTGTATGTTGTATGGCTGTCTGTCTCTCTGTCTCTCTGTTTGTTTGTATGTCTGTCTGTCTGTCTGCCTAACTTGCAGTGCAAAACCAGTTGCAGGTAGTGTTTAAAATACTCATAGCCTCCAATTCTTTTTAATTTTTTTTTTGCTTTGCTTTGGTTCTTATTTTTGTTTTTGTTTTTGCTTTTTCATTTTGTCTTATACAGTTTTTGTTCTTAAAGGTGCCTGAATGTGGTTCCGTGTTCAATTTATTTTTCAATTTCGTCTCTGACGTCTACTTTTTTTTTGAACAAAACTCATCCATCCAGCGTTTTCTTTAGCTCGGCATGATTTTGTTTTTGTTTTTGTTGTATTTTATTTTCTACCAATTCTTTATTTCTATATTTTTGTTATTTGAGGTAGGCTACCACATTCACATTTTAGCATTTTGGTTGGTAGTAAGCAAAGTGAAGCAGTGAGTACGATTGAAACCTTCTGATTTTAACTGCGTTTCTGCAGCAGCTAGCTAACAACAGCAGCAGCAGTGGACTGTTTCAATGAGCTGCTGCTGCTGCTGCTGCTGCTGTTGCTATTGCTGCTCCTCTCTAGAGAGTTCTTTATTATTATTTCTTTATTGTTTTTACTTTTTGGTTTTGTTCACTAGTTGGTTGCTTAATGTTGCTGCTGTTGTTGTTGTTGTAGCGTTTTTTACGCTTAAAAAATTTTTTTTGGCCCATTGGTATTATATGAAAGTTTGTTTTTTATGCTGATTTCATTTTTTCATTTATTTTTGTTTTTGTTTTTAGTATGTGCGACGACGTTAAACCTAAACCAAAAGCGACGTCTTTTCTGTTTGGCTTAGTTTAACGTCAACAACGTCGTCATCGTCATCGTCGTATTCGTCGTCTTTGGTTCATTGCATTCTTTTTGGTTGGGACTAAATTGTTTGTAGTTTTCCTTAATTTTTTTTTTGTTTTATTTTTTAGAATCTTTTGTACGGCAATATATGCGCATAGGGTTCATTTCGGTTCGATTTGCGATATTCGTGTTCGTTGGTTTCTTTTCAGGCTTCAGGGTTCACTTGCGGCATATTTTTTTTGTTTATATTATATATGTTAAATTATATATGTATGTGTGTAATTTTTTAATATTTTTATTTTATATTGTTATAGTTGATTGCAGTTGAGTAGATTTTAATACGGTACTGCCTCATTTTTTATCACTAAAACTTTATAAATAAATTTTCATTCTCATTTCCAATTTTGTTTTTTATTTCATTTTTTTATTTTTGTTTTATTTCGTTTTTTTTATATTTTTTATTTCGGATTTTTTTTGTGTTTATTAATTTTTTTACATTTTTTCTTACAGTACTTCAGTAGTAAACGTTCGATTGCTTCCGGAAGTGCCGTTTTACACGTGAATAAAAATTATCTTGAATGTTTATGGTAATAAGGAAGCATAAAAAATATTGTAATGCAACACCCTGGATGCGATATGAGAAAATTCGGTAACTACCTGAACTGAAATATCAATACATAGCAAATTTTTCATATTGTTTTTACTTGTGGATTAAATTAATGTGTAAAATATGTTGACAGAATTGATAAAATTATATGTCATATGATGCAGTGAATTATGAATTATTAAAAACTCTAGCGAGTTTTTAGAATAGGTGTATTCGGAATGTGACAAAAAACAGCAAGTCTCTAGCTAAAGTCTCTTGCCAAAATCTCTTGCTGAATTCTGTTAATAAAGTCTTTTGCACAAGTCTTTACTGACATCTTTTGCGCAAGTGTTTTGGTAACAACTCTTGCTTAAGCCTTTTGCTAAAACATCTTGCTTAAGTCATTTGTTAGAGTCCATCGCTCAAGGCTCTCGCTAATGTCTCTTTCAAAAGTCTCTAGCTTAAATCTCTTATTAAAATCTGTTTTGTTTTTTAAGAATGTTAACTTTTATTTCGTGCGTTATTTTTTAGTATAATTCTATACGTATTTCGGCAAATTCGCTTTTGCCTTCATCAGGAGGATTCCTAATATTAGGAGGCAAAAGCGAATTTGCCGAAATACGTATAGAATTATACTAAAAAATAACGCACGAAATAAAAGTTAACATTCTTAAAAAACAAAACAGATTTTAATAAAAATTTCGACGTAACAACTCAAAAAATTAATAACAAAATTATATTAAGTCTCTTGCCAAAATATTATGTTGCAGTTTCCTGCTACAGTCTCATGCTAAAGTCCCTGGGAAAAGATTATTGCTAAAGTGTTTTGCAAGTCTCTTTCTAAATGCTTTTGCTAGACTCTCTTGCTAAAATGTTTTGCTAAAGTGTTTTACTAAAGTCTCTTACTAAAGTCTCTTGTTGACATATGTGATGACAACTTTTACAATCTGTCAAATATTGATGCAATATATATTTTGTCAGGAAAATATACTGGACTTCAAATTACACATTATTGAATAAAAGTAATGCAGACACTAATTTACATTTCATCAGGCAAAGAAAAAAAGACTACTGTAGTAGGTTTGATTTACTTGGGTGTTTAATCCTATTGATTTAAGTCTTATAGCCTAATATCAAGACAAAATTTCATCTAGAAATCATAATCAAAATGAACACATCATAAACGCGAAATATTTGAATGATATTTGTATGATACACATGTGAGTAAAGAAATTCCTATCGTAACGAAAAAAAGATAAAGTACTCACTTTAAAGACTATACTTTTACTAATCATTCAGTCATTTTGCTAACCATCATATACTATCATGCATGAAGTTCTTATAGCATTCAGGACTATTATTATTTTTAAAGACCAAAAAGCACTACAACCTGAATATATCTATTGTGAATATGCAGAACAGATCCAGATTTGTTACTCATGATAAAGTAGTGCTGTTCACAACTTCCTTCGGAGTCTATTCTTGGCTACTTTTCTTTTGTTTGCAAGAAAAGCACATACAACAACAATATAAAAAATGCCATCATAATGAAGTAAGCTTTAGATAGTGGATGAGCTCTATTCCATTTGATTTTTACTGAATTATAGATATAATCATTGAAATTATTTACCGCCCCTTTTATTTTAATAGTTTATAATTTAAGTATTATCAAAACGATTTTTTTTTTTAAATTTTACATCAAGAGACCATAATAATTACCCCTTTTTGTGTACAGAAGGGATAAGAACAAAAATCAAAATAAAGTGAAATTCAGTTGAAAATTAAAATTCACAAATATAAAATTGTACAAACGACTTTTACTATAGGCGAGTACAACCATTACAGCAATAACAACAACAATAAGAAGAACAACAACAACCCCTAAAACCCTTAAAGTGAAAATTATAGAAGGGTAGTATTTTACAATAAAGCGCTGGATAAAAAAGTATGCCAGACTAGAGGATTGAATAAAGGCAATGAACCTTTATGCTTTTTCCTAGGAATATGTAAAAACAGCAGGAATATAGTGAAAACTTCATACTCTATACCATATCCATGTAACGTTACCATTTTCATACAAAAGAAAAGCTAACATAGCAGTTTTCAATATTGTTTTTGTTGTTATTGTTGTTGTATTACTGTAGCCAGCTGTGGGTTAAAGGGAACATTGGCAGGCTTTTTGTCTACTTTTATAGGATTTGTAAGGAGAATGATGGTGTTATAGAACTACATGGTTGCAGTAAGATTTTTACAACTAAAATGGAGCAACAAATACAAAATGTTGCTAAAAATTTATGGTAAATAAATAATGTGATTTACCGTAAATTAAAGTGAATGGAAGACACTTAGGATTAGTTGTCAATGTTTATGATGATATAATAATAATGTATATATAATAGAAAGCTCTCAACTTACCATACGACTCCAAAAGCACCATAGCCGATG